GATACACTGCCGATAAGTGCACAGTGTCACTACGTCTATGGCTATACGTACGAGATCAACGATATTGCAGGGATGATAACGTGTAGGCAGACTGCTATCATGTTAGGGATCAGCGTACAAAACAGTGTGCGCATTCGTCATGTGGAGTTACCTCTATCGCCACAGCTTGATGAGTCGTTCCAGTGGCTACGGTGGCCGACATCGTGGCGGCTCAGGTCGCAGGGACACCTCCCAGTGGTGCGGTCCATCTACTGCAGATAGGTTGTGGAAGGCCACAAAGAACAGATATTGGATTTCGGACAAAGCAACAGAGCTGCAAGTTCGTGTTTGTGTGGTTGGCCATCTTAGGATCTTGGGTCATCGTAGAGTGAAAACGACGCTGAAAAAGATTGGTGCCGAGTATTTCTGGACGGGCATGAGCAAAGCCTTTGTTCAACGATGTTTGCACTGCGCGAGCACACTCGGTGGACCACCACAGCCTAGGGTATTAGGCGATGCAATGCATATATGCACCCGAACGAGCTTATCCACTGGGACTATTTGTTCATGGGAGCCAGTGACGCTGGAGAGGCCTACATCCTGGTTAATGAAAGCCGATGCGTCCAAGTACGTGTGGCTGCTACCGTATGCAACAGATGCAGACACAACATTTAACGACTTGCTTGAGTGGTTTGCTTCGCTCGGTGTGTGTCGGACTTGGGTCAGCGACCAGGGCACACGCTTCAAGAACAGAACCATTGAGGCCTTGCAACACGCATTAGGGGCGCACCACCACTTCACAATGGCAAGATGCCCGTGGCCAAACGGCACCGTGAAAGTGGCGATGCCCGAAGAGCTCCGTTGTTGCCGTGCCCTTTTATCCGAATGGAGAATGCAGCCACAGGAATAACCACGAGTGGTGAAGATCGTGCAGATGGTGCTCAACAACTCTCTGTCGCCATCGCTAGCAGGAGTGGCTCCCATTACGGCGATGACGGGATTACCGGCAATGTCTCCAACCGATCATTTCGCGGTCCCAGGACCGGCTGAAATGGCTACATTGCAAACGATACAGGCATCGCAGCAAGACCACGTGAAAAATCTACGCAAAGCACTAGATGAAATGCATCGTCGTACAAACCGCAGCTCGTAAGAGTCACAGCAAAAAGCTAGGAGCAGCTTTGGCTCAGTTCGACATCGATAACTACGTGCTGTACGCCGATGTCTGGCAGCATACACGCAGTAACCGGCGAGTCAAGTGGTGTGCACCAGCACAAGTGACACAATTGGATTTTCGAGATAGAAAACCTCATCACTGAACAGTGACATGAAGCACATGCTAGTCGCCTTAATTTTTAAGGAGAAAGTTCTCTGAACGTGAATGAGGACATGCTGAAGCACGTTGCTCACAACAGTGAAGGGCACGTTGCTAACAAGTCGCTTAAGGCGCGCTACAAACTCGGAGACAAAGCGCCATGAAATTGAGGTGCGCTGGAGAGGTCTCAGTAATGGAGAGGACGCTTATGAACTAGCAGACATGCTACTATAAGACGTTCCAGTGGCTGTGCGAGCCTCTGTCAAGAATAACCACAAGCAGAGCGAAGTGAGTGCTCTGCGTAAAGCGCTCCGGATCAAGTAGACAATCGACTACAAGATCGCGTTGAGCCCAAGAATTACGACTACGTCATCGAAGGGGGAAGTGCTGTCGCTAATGCTACAAAGTGCAGCGACCGCTGAGGTTTCACCTCAGCGGTAACAGCACTCGCTTTAGTACAAGTGCAACACGTTGAAGCTTACAGCGAACGACACTACAGCTGGTGGAATTACGACTACGTCATCGAAGGGGGAAGTGCTGTCGCTAATGCTACAAAGTGCAGCAACCGCTGAGGTTTCACCTCAGCGGTAACAGCACTCGCTTTAGTACAAGTGCAGCACGTTGAAGCTTACAGCGAACGACACTACAGCTGGTGGTTACAGAACGGACCACCTTTCAGTAGTCGTACATATTGCTAGCACATAAGATAAACAAGCTCACTTCTACATTTTGTTTGAAGGCGACAAACAACAAAGAATTCCTTAGCTGGGAGTCGCCACAGCATGGAGAAGCCCGACGAAGCGATGGTGCCTCAGCTCGAGAGGCAGATACCGGCTGCCGCGTATCCCCCGCTGCCCTCGTACACGGATCAAGAGCTGATGCTGGCTCAAGAGATGATGCCGCTCACTGTCGCGATCCAAGGCAGCGAGACCAGTTGCCAGGTCGAAGATCTGGCTCAGCAATCTGCGGCTGTACAGCAGGTGACGGCTGCCCAACTCGGCCACGTGCAGAACCCGCAAGAGCTGCTGGCGGCAAAGACGTTGGAATATCTGCGGGCACAACCCGACCGTCAGTCTGCACTGCTAGAGCAGCAACAGGAAATTAAACAAAAAACCAGATGATGAGCACCGGCAATACCTGGAGGAGCAGTATCGACTGCTTAAAGACTGCTGAAGAGGCCGTGGGGCTGCAGGGTGAGCGGCTTATTTGCCTCGCAGAGGCGGTGCAGCCGCACTTGCAAGCGCGATGGGGAGCTTTCGCTGCATCACCACCCAGCGACCAGTAGGCTCCGGAGCCAGATTCCGTCACCGTGGCGGCAGGGACAAACTTGCCTGTCCCGCCTAGTTACCGAGGCAGCTCAAATCAGGAGAAGCGTGACTTCATGGACAGTTACGCTATCTACACACGTCGTCTTTATGCGCTAAATTAAGGTACCCAAGCAAAGGTTTTTTGTCATGCCGCTAAGTGCATGCATTGAACAGGGCACGATGGTGAGGATCTGCGGCTTTGAGCTGTTTAAAGACGAGAAGGACGTAACTGAAGCGGAATGGAGGGATATTTTATGTCGGCACGCCTACCAGACAACACCGCGTACAAGACACTGGATAAGGAGGTGAAGATGCTCTGTATGAACTTGGAATTACAAGATGCGGTGTCTCGACTCTCTCGCCTCATGGCCGACTTCTACGAGTAGTCGACCGCTTGAACATGGAGGATGTGGTGCAAGTGGAGCCCAAGCAAGCGAATGGATACTTGGTGAAGGCCTTGCGTCCACCAGCATTCAGGGCTGTTGTGAAGGCCAAATTGGGGCGTCAAACGCACAAGCAGACCAAGGAAAATATACAAGTTTTCCTGAAGTGTGTCCGCAGTAAGCTGGAGGGGTTTATGCGCTTTGAAGTCCACATCTCGCCACCGGTGCAAGCCAAAACTAGCACTACGGCTGAATTGCATCCAGGATTCGGAAGCAACTCAAAGAAAGCTCAGGGAGGACGTGGT